CTTGCTTTGGACACTAACAATATCTTGTGCTTTGCTAAAACTAATGAGCTGCAAACTGTGATTTCGCACTGAGTACGGGTCTTTGAATAAAGTTAAACAAAATATATAACAATTTGTAGGCCATGTCATGAACGCCGAGTCATGGAATCATTGCAACCGTTCCTTTCACAAGTTATAATGTACCTTAACCAACCAGGACTTTGATTTCCTGGCCAGAATATGCACGAACTGGTTAGCGAAACCAGATACACTTCAGTACTATCAAAACTGCAAGAGGATGTTGCTACCGAGCCAAGTGTTTCAGAGGTCCCTAGTTTTTCTACTGTTTAGTTGCAGAGAAGTACCTAACAAAATTTATTTCCAATGCACGTTCGTTTGTTATAAGGCAGGTCATCAACATATCTTCATTGGATTGCTTTAAAGACCAATATTGATCGGGTTACTAGTTTAATGCCCAATATTGTCTGTTTTAGAGAGCATGTGATAAAACGAAATCAAAATAAGGCAAGTTATTGTGCAGCCTACTTTTATTTTCATTTTTGGCAAACTTGGATATCTTTTATCCAACAAGTTCTACATTAGAAAAACACAAGCGTTTTGGTTGAGGGTTGTCCACATATAACTATACCGCTACAAAGCATATTTAGTTGCCAGTTGTCGCAAACAATTGAAAACACATACAACACTAAGACACGCCACGAAAATCTTAATATTTATAGCTGCCTTGACTTAAATGTAAAGTATCAAACATGCGAAGAAATTAGCGGAGTCAACAAGGTCTTTATTTTCGTAAGACGAAGAATCACTGGATTTTGTGTTTGACAACAATACGAGACTGAGAAAGTTACAGTTGGATATGAAATTTTTAGATTTCCTTGAGGAATAGTGTACTTCGTGTTGATGCACAGATGTGTGAACGGAAGAAAAAATTTTTCGACTTGTCAATGTAAACATACGCATATGTGCCAGGCATGAAGCAGTTCGTCAACATGGGCATCAACATAACGACGAACAAAACACCAACTATCCTGAAAGAAGTCGGGACCATGCGTGCTTGACCAATTTTTCAGGCAACTTGCAAATATTCAGCATCATTTGGAAACAACTTTCGTGCTTTCTCATAGAACCTGGAGAGCAGTCGTTTGAGGCCACGTGCAAATGGATCCCGCAGCGCCGGAATGTACACAGCGATGATAATGGGCGAGAACACTAACTGTACGTGAAGAAACAGCATTCCCATCCTATAGGTCAAACTGTCCAGCACCATTTTACACAACCCCAATGCACAAACAAATTCGTAGATTCTACTGTAGAGACTACATGCCACGAAATTGATTGACAGCGGCACAATGCACATTGATGCTGTCATCCAGCCATGCGGATGACGCAGTTCCGCCAGTTGTCGGTCCGTGGTGCCCGGAAAAGCCAACGCATTCCAGGTGTCCAAGAGCTTCTCTGCTGGTGTACTACGCACCCATTGGACAACCTTAAAGCAGGAAATGCACATGATAACGGGGCTTATGATGACGGTTAGGCCAAACCGGACAAAGGTTCCCACGTAAGCGGACACGAGTATCCAGTAGGGTACGTCTGATTCACGGCAGGGGCAGTCTTTGCCATCCCATAGCACCACAAATGCCTGGCTTAGCATACTTAGTACGCTACTCACTCCTATAATTACCACGTGGGTGAGATCTGGTAACATCGACGGAGCGAAGGCGTTCTGGTATTTGTCACCAATCTGAATTGCCCTGTGTACGACCATGAAGTTGAGGTTCAGAGCGCCGAATATGTAAGAAACGTCGA